AATACGAGTCCACTTCACACATGCATTGACCGCAAGAAATATCAATTTGTTAGGCGTTTTGAATTGTGTTTTTAAATGTTATAAATCATATGATTTTTGTTTATAATTAATTTCTAGTGTTTATTGTTTAATATATAATGTAATATTCATTGAAAATGACAAATAATTTTCAGTTTGAATTCAATAAATATATAAATCAAAAGCGATTATTGAAGAAAATTTTCGACGAGACACTCATCGCATGCAATGAAATCGCTATCAATGACTACTTCACTAAAGGTATGCAATAATGCATTTATTCATACATTAATTGATGTGAATATTATATGCAATTAAATCAACTGTTTATTTGTCGGGCATTTAATTTTGTATTTTACATGTTTTAAACACAATATAATACAGTATATTATGCGTCAAATAATAGTTGTTTTGTTTGTTTGTCTGAAACGTGAAAAAAGTTTTTTGACTTTTATCTCAACCACTGATTGAAAGGCAGCCAAAAAAGGCTATAGTTTTTGATTAATATTAATTGTTTATCAATTAGTTGTGTAATAATTGTCTTATAAATAGTGTGTTATTGTCTTTGTAATCACTGACAATATTATTGACTTAATTTTTATTACTTTTATTTATTTAATTAAAAACTTATTATTGAAACAAAAATCATACAAATCTATGAAAACAGATCTAAAAGTTCAATAACTTTTGACTTTTCTTTTAAATATCAATTTTTTCCATTGAAGACATTTAAACATCATTTAAATGTCATTATAGTTACAATTTGTTAAACCAGATAATCGGCTGATATTTCACGCATTGTTTTACATTAAATTGTTGTTTGGTTTAAAAATATTACAAAATTGTATTTTTCTCACAAATATAAGACTAATATATTTTTGTTGATATAAGATAAACATGTTATTTAGCGCTAATAAATAACTTCAATAAATAAATTGTATATTTAATATAAACGACGCCTAAGTATTGATTTTACAAAGTTGTTTGTGTAGTGAAAAATAAATTATACGATAAATTCATATAAACTAATAGTCGATTTCAATATACATATTGTTAGTTGTAATTGAAATGTACACGAGTTTTAAATAAGTTTATTATCACTCATATTGTTATCTAAATAACTGTAATTGATTTGATTAGAAACTGATGGCAAGACTTATCGTAAACTAATTAAAACTTTAAACTCACAAATCAGACGAGTTTTACGAAACACGAGTCCGAGAGATATATAATTGAATTCTTTATATAAAAAACATATTTTTAGAAAAAAATTAGTCTAAATATAAAACAAATATATATCTAGAGTTAAATGAAGCGAAATATACTGTTTTAATTCAGTGAGAGCTAAACAAAACGGCGCCAAAGTTTTACACACCATATCAATCAAAAAATTGAAAGTCTAAAGTATTTTCTCTCTCTTTCTGTTAAACCCTTTCATAAAAAATATTGCTTTTTTTGTTGCGAAAAGTTTGTGAATTAACTTTTATATCTAATTTCACTGATTGTCTGACTTTTAGACCAGTTCTCGGAGATATGGCTCAAAGAAGAAGACGAGAAGTTTATCCGCGAGATAATCGAGACACCCATTGGTATCGTTGTGTTGGGAACAAAGTCTTGGGCCAAAGCTCTAGTGGTGAATGAGCTCTTGAACTGTCCTCTCCTTCCCGTATGTCTAGCAAAACGTTAAACAAATGATTGGTTAAAACTATATTAATTGAACACATTATTAGATCGACACCACAGCGAAGTCCAATCCATGGCGTACTGTCCGCTGTCTATACGGCACGCAAACAGTGGTGTCTTTAGCTGTCGACCACTGCTATGAATTGGTCGAGCATTTGGCAGCCTATGATCAGGTCTGGCATACAATACCTCAAAGCGATTTGCAGCTCAAAAAAGGCGACGCCAAAGCCATCCGAGACCCGGGATATCATTTGGCAACACTTGAGGTGAAACTACCGCACCCTCTGCTCAAAGATGACGTCCAGATAATGGTCTCTCCGGGACTCAACGACTTCGATGTCATCTATTCGTGTTGTTTCGAAAACATCAATCCAATCGTTATTTATGCCATCTCTGGCGAAGACGAATGTCTCTCACCTCTCGATGTCCAGCAATTAAGTGATCTCCGTCTCAAAGAACCAAAGATTCCCATATTCTTCGTGCGGACGAAGGAAGTGGTGACACAACCGCTGACGCCTACCATTAGTTACGCCGAGTTCTCGCCGTCGGAATTGACTGAATCACAACAGCACTGGTATTACAGGCAACAGTCGGCTGCGATCAGCTCATCGGTCACTAACCATAGCCCTCCCGACTCACCGCTAGTCCTTCCCTCGTCTTCATTACCAAACACTCATTTCGAGGCATTTCATCAAAACTCGTCATCTCTGGCACTACACCAACAGTTATATAATTTAGGATATCTTATAGAAACCCGACATCACATGAGAGGACAGCTCACTAACGAATCGGTGGCTAAAAAGTCTCGACGCGACTACTTCTTCGACGTCTCGTCAGAATTTGTGGATAATTTCAATAAATTCTCGACAATTTCGGTGTTCTTTCGAAATATCTTGCGTTCAAATCTGGTGTCGGCGGCGACTCTACTCAACGAATCACACAACCATTGCCTCCGGATGTTTATACTGACGGCACACGACATGACATGGGATTTGCAGATCACTCCCAAACGCATTGAATACGTTAAGCAACGCGAAGCCGAACTCTTCTCGTCTCTGATGGCGATCGCCAACAAAAAGCAGGAAGAGATCAAACAACTCATTTCGGAGACAATCGATTTCATGCGTTCAGATATACTGAATCAGGCGGCGAACCACGAGTTCACGAATCCTATCATTAATTTCAATAACATCAGCGCCCGAGAGCTCCACAACTGTACGGACGAGATTCAGGACTTAGTGCTAACTCTACTCAATAGTGCGATCGCAAAGAAATTAGTCGGTTCTGTAGACTATATGCGCGACTCATTTATCGGAACTCTCGAGAGGTGTCTCACTTTGTTGGAGGCCTCGTGTCAGGAGGCGGGCGATCCTCCCGAGGCGTCGGACGCACTCAAACAGATACTGAACGCCGCCTACACTATAGAGGTTAACATAAAGTCGTCGCATAATCTCATACGAGTTATTTGGGA